GAGGCGGCTTCCCCAAAAAAGAGAGAGGGGTTCCGTTAAAAATGGAAAGGAATTCTTTTTTCCCGAAAAGTACGCCGGCCGGGACTCGAACCCGGGACCTTCGCCGTGTTAAAGCGACGTCATAACCACCTAGACCACCAGCGCTTGTATTTTATTAAAGGATACCTGATTGAATGATGAGAAAAAAAAGAAAAAAAAGAAATCTCTCCAAAATTTTTATTGGATAATTTTTAAATCCTTTATTATAAAAAAAATAATTAGTTTCTTCTCGTACCTTCTGTAGCTCAATTGGTAGAGCATGTGACTGTAGAATTTAAAAGCAGATATCACAGGGTCGCTGGTTCGATTCCGGCCGGAAGGAATGGTTTTTCTTTTGCTTTTTGTCGATTTTTTTTCCATACTACCCCATTCTTCTCTCCTTTCCCTTTATCCAATAACCATTTAGAACCCTTCCATCAAAGAAGGAAGAAGAAGAAGAAGAAGATTATATAAAAACCAATTTGTTAGTTCTGCCAGGTGAATCTTCCGGTAGAATAGAGAGTTTAATATCTAATGTTTTCTTTTTTTTTCACACTTCTTGTCATGGAATCCTATTCTTGGAATTCATAGGAACTTTATAGAATATATTTATTTCTTTTTTGTTTTTGTTTTTAATTTGTTTCGCAGGGTTTCCCGAGTTAAGGAAACATATTCTTTCTTTTTTTATGCCTTCTCCCCCAAAAAAAAAGAAAAACAAACAAAATGGAAATTTTAAGAAATTCTTTTTACAAACTTCTCTATTTGAGAGACTGCAGGGATAAGAAAAAGAAACAAAATTAAATTGTAAAAGTTAATTTCCTTATTGCGGTTTGATTTCCATCAGCGCGGGGTCCCCAGGCGTTCTCTCTTTTTCGTGAAAAGCATTTTTTTTCCCTTTAAGCAAAACCCTAAATCATCAGAATCGCAAAAAAAAAAAAATGCCATTTCCTCTCTTTGCGGCATCTTTTAAAAAGAATCCATGGGAATTGTTGGGTTTTGCTTTGGCGGGAAGTGGGAAAAAAAAACCCTTTGAACCCAATGCGGTGGCACCCAACCCCGATAATCTCCAGGGAACTCCAAAAAGAAAGAAAAGCAAACGGCTTTCACGATTTATTGGCATTGCCGTTAAACTGATTTAATACTTTTTATTTCTTTCACTCTTGTCTGTGTGTTTGTTTTAAAAAAAACGGTTGGTACCCATTCGCTATAAATAGTGTTTTTTTTTTTTTTTTCAAATGGCGAACTCTTTTTTTTTTTTTGAATAGTTTACTCGTTTTATCTTTAAAATAAATAAAAAAAAAAAAAAAACCCCTAGCAATCTGAAGGGGAAAAAAGAAAGAAAAAAAAAATGAAAAAAAAACAATGCGATCGGTGAGGCTCGAACTCACGACCTTGGGATTATGAAACCCACGCGCTGCCGACTGCGCCACGCTCGCTCTGATTTTTGGTATGAAATTTTTCCAATTGGGGGTGGGGTGGGATGGGGTGGTGGGTAAAATCCTTTTATTAGAAAAATGAAAAAAAAATAAAAATAAAAAACATCATCATAATGAATCCCTTTTTTTAGGGCTCATCATATCCGGTGTGGTATAGTGGCTAGAACAAGCGGCTCTCACCCGCTAGACCCGGGTTCGATCCCCGGCATCGGAATTTTTTTTTCTTTCCCTCTCTCCTCTTTTCTTTACTCGTTCGATGAATTTCTTTCTATTGAACTGAGAAATTATATTTTATATAAACATTCTTAGAAACTTTCTAAGAATGATCGAAGCGAGCGTGGCGCAGTCGGCAGCGCGTGGGTTTCATAATCCCAAGGTCGTGAGTTCGAGCCTCACCGATCGCATTCCTTTTTTTTTCTTTTTCTTTTCTTCCTTCTTTCCCCTTTCAGAAATTATTTACTAGGGATGCGGGAAAAAAAAAATTTTTCTGCGAAAACCGTCGACAGCAGGGTTCGAACCTGCGCGCGAGATCGCATTTGATTTCAAGTCAAACCCCGTAACCACTTGGGTATGTCGACTTATGTGAAGGATGAAAAAAAAAGTTTTTTTTTATATATATATATAAAAAATAGGGGAGGGATGAGAAAAAGATTTATATGAAAAAAAAAATTTTTTTCTTAAAACTCTTATTTTAAAATCTAAATAATTAGGAAAACACAATGGGAACCCGTGGCGGTGTGGCCGAGTGGTCTAAGGCGCCAGATTTAGGCTCTGGTCTCGTAGAGGCGTGGGTTCGAACCCCACCACCGTCAAACGTTTTTCTACATTTTCTCCCAATAATTTTTTTTTTAGTTTCTTTACCTGGCTTTGTTTCCCCCCACCTCTTTCGCCCATTTCCTAACGAAAGCCCGAGCG